CTTCACGATCGTTTCGCTAATATACGTTTGAACATAATCAAATTTCTCTTAATTTTTTAATCAACAACTTTTTGAATATCGTTCGTAAGTTTTATCGAGACAATGGCGAGTTAATATGATCGAAATATTTTTCTCAAACATCGAAGAAACATTTCTTGTTAAATATTAGAAAATCTATCGTCGAATTATTTATTAATAATGTGATAGTGATCAAAAATCATTTCTCGTTTATTCCCGAATATATAGCTCTTACGAAGAATATATTTATGTCTTTATATACATATATATATATATATATCTCAAATCTCTCGTGACATGTTATTGTTCGATAAAATGTTTCGTTATCTTAGGATTAAATATATCCGACAAAATTTTCACGTGTAAAATGTGAAAACACATTGTCGATTCAATTTCTTTTTCATTTGTTCCTGAATTTCAACAAAAGTAGGAAGAACTATATACGCGTTCGGTTAAAAAGATATTCTCGAGAGTACAAAACTATTTCTTGAAATTTTGTCTTTTTCTAACAACAGTGAAGTATTTTCTTACGATCTTCAAACTTATATCATTTTAACTTTTCGTTTTAACGATAAACGAAGTTACCGAAGTGAAAGATTAACAGAAAAAGAGAAAGAGAGTAAGATGTCGTCAGGAAATAAGTTCATGTTCATAGTTTTGTTCACATGCGCATGTAGTGTATATATATATATACATATATATATATATATATATATATATATATATATATATATATGATACGAATCGATGAAATTCCTTTTCAAAAGGATACACTTATCTTTATCTCTGTCTTTCTTCCTCTTTCTTTCTTTCTCTCTCTGTCCCTCCCCTTCTCTTTCTCTTTGTCTCTCTCTGTCCCTCCCCCTCTCTTTCTCTTTGTCTCTCTCTGTCCCTCCCCCTCTCTTTCTCTTTGTCTCTCTCTCTCTCTCTTTCTATCTCTATCTCTCTCTCTCTCTCTCTCTATTTCTGTCTCTCTCTTTTTATTAAACCTTAATGTCAAATGCATCTACTTCCTTACCTGAGAATGTACTTAGCGAAAAATTGTTTAACATCGTTTCTTACTTCTCTCAGGTCATATAACTTACACATAACTACGTATATTTCATATACGAATTTACGATCTTACGAAATAAGAGAATCCGCTTAAAACCATTTCTGATTTTGAAAGTTACGTACGCAGAAACATCGCTTTTGTTCTCTACAAGGAGAGAGAAAGAGATAGATAGAGGGGGAGAGATAGATAGATAGATAGATAGATAGAGAGAAAGAGGGAGAGAGAGAGAGAGAGATTTGTTATGCTAATGAGAAAGTTAAAAACTTATAGAAGGAAACAGGAAAGGACGATTTTGATGAATATTAAAGTTGATACAAATTTTATATTGAATTTTTTTTTTAAAGAAGATGATAATGTCCGATCGCCTTAAAGTTGTTTCACTGAACATGCACGACACCGGCTATTGAATGATCAATACTGTACTGCTCCACTATGAATAGGTCGCGACAATCGCTTTGCGTCTCATTATTTCTTGAGAAAGAACAATAAAATGTTAAAAATATTTCTCTTACATTATTTCTTAGATCTCTTAACTTCTCGCCAACTAGTTTTCGAAACGTTTTGTTCTCTTTATATATATATATATCTCTCTCTCTTTCTCTCTCTCTCTCTCTCTCTCTCTCTCTCTTTCTTTCTCTCGCCCTCTTTCTCTTTTAGGTTTTGCTTTCATGTTCATAAAAAAAATGTCACAACTTCGAAATGAATATTATCGCAGGCAAGAAAGTTTAATGACGAAATCATTTTACTTCGTAAAAAGTTTCGACGATTATCGCGCGTCTCGCTAAAATAATCGCATTATTTCTGATATTACGAAAAAGTGCTTTTAGATTTACGTAAAACTATCGATTATTTTTATTCTGAAGAAAAAATCTGAAAGAAGCAAATCGATAAAAGAATAACATTTAGAAGGATTCTCCATCACGATTATCACACGATATATATTCTCACGTTGACATTAACTCATGAAAGTAAATATATTTGGGTGGAACGGAATGTTCAGAATTTGACGTAAAATTTTCGACGATAAATTGTAACGGAATTTCTGAACGTTATCCCTAGTACGGATTTAAGCTTGATTTGTGAACTATAAGTAGCAAAAATTTATTCGTATTAACCATCATTTCTATGCAATTCTCAAGAAAAGGGGAGTACTGAAATTTTTCAAAATCTCAATGTTCAAAAAGTTCCGTAATAAAGTACAATGGAATTTCTTCGGAGAAATATTCCTTTTTGAAGTAAATATTTGGAACGATTCACTATATATATACACACAAACACACATATGTATATAAATATGTATGAATATGTGTATACTGAAATTATATTTCTTAAATTAATTTAACTTAGCTTTTTTCTCAAAGAAAATCTTTATAGTATATTTGTTCTAATAAAATTTACTTTCAATCTGAAAGTTTATAAAACTCACGAAAATGGCATGTTAAACGGATGTAAGATAAAAAATGAAAAAATATTGTCAAAGAGCGGATCGTTACTTTCGTCGATAAAAAATTAACAACAACCTTTTCGAGTGTTTATTTTCTCTCTCTCTCTCTCTCTCTCTCTCTCTCCTTTTTTCTCGTCGTAAGTCATTATCTCAGGTTGTTTACGCATCTCGCTTTTATCGGTATCCACGGAAAGCGGTCGACAATGTAAAAATAGCATCACCATCACTTTCTTCACGAATAAAAAACCTGGCCACGTTTTTCGCAAGCTCCTTTATCCAATTAACAAATAGTCCTTGCCTTATTAAAGTATCATACAATGTAAATAGTTTCATATCATGGATCAATGACGAGAAATTAGTTCGTACCAGCAAAGGAAGGTTTGTTCGAATAAAAAGAGGAAAATTCGAAAAATTGATTTGTGATGAACGTGCGGAAAATAAAACAAGCATCGAAAGTACTTTGAGGATTTATCGATCGGTCCTTTTTAGACATTGTCTATGCAATCATGTATATATATAAAAATACCTATATATTCTGATATGTACATATATTTTATACGTAAACACATACATATATATATATATATGTATGTATGTATGTATGTATATTTATTGGTTTTTCCATGTACGTGCCCACTGTATATGTGCAACGATGTGTAAATATTTTTTCCATCGCGTTTAATTAAATTCTGTGAATTCCTAGCACTACTCTTGCCTTTCTCTGAAAAACACAGAAACGAGGGTGTTCAAATTTCGTTTTAACGATCTTGTTTATTATTATTATTATTATTATTATTACTATTTTGTATTATTATTTTGTATTATTATTTGTTTCTTATGCAAGTAAACAAATATGCTTGAGTAACTACAAATTTGCGAATCCTTCGATTTCTTGATTTTATATCGATGTCTCATTATCGTTACATTATTAAAGGAACAATATTTATTGTTTCGAACATATATATGATCCTTTTGATTCATATCCATTCGTATCTAATTCGTAGTGAATTTATATCTATTTTCTCAATCGAATGAGACGTGTAATCATCGATAATTATATTATTTCGACGATGTTCATTATGCTATTCGCATTTATTTTAATAAGGTTCGTTTAGAAAATTATTACTAACTCGTGCGAACGTTCGTTCGTGACAATATTGATTTATCATTTAGTTTCCATTACAAAAAAATCTTACGAAGGTACATGTAAAGGTAATTCGTTACGAAAGTAAATAGACATTGACATTGAGGTTGCTGATATAAAATTTGCATTAAAACTATCTGAATATAAGCAAATGTTTGCACGATCTTAAATTGACCTTGGCTTGTAAACTATCCAAAGAAAAAGCCCAAACATCAACTTTAAAGAATGTCCCTATTATCTATATTTCATTTTTAATAAGATCTAATTCAATAAGTCCAATTGAAATATTTGCCAATAGTTTTATAAACATTTATAAAATTGGAATAGATTATCGTTTTGTTATTATTTCCGATAGATTCGTTAATTATTGGATATATTCTGTATATTTCATTATATTTACGATCGATTTCTGTATAGATATATTTTAGTTTAATAACGATCTGTAAATATAAGATATATATACAGGTATATATCTACCAGGGAAATATTAAACTTTTAGAAAATATTAAATACAGTTAAAAAATATAAATTGTTTTTTTATTTTTTTTTTTACTTTCGGTTCCTTTTATCTTTTTCTATTTGTCTTTCGTAATAAAAAAAAAAGTCCTTGTGCCATTAATATAACCTTCATTGTAATTGTAAATTTAGATCTCGATGATATATACGATTTTTTTTACGTTTAATGAATTCGCCGGAAGAAAAATGTCTCGATAAGTTTCCTCTTGGTTCGTAAATTAAAGGAAATTGTACAAGAAGATACACACATACGTACGAGTAATATAAGCACAGAGTGTAGGTTTTGCCATATACCGAATGACGAGCCATTTTCGCTTCTTTGTTTTTGCTCTCTTTCCATTTCTCTCTCTCTCTCTCTCTCTCTCTCTCTCTCTCTCTCTCTCTCTTTCTCTTTCTCTCTTTCGAAGGAACCAGAAGCCAAAGTCAAAGCTTAAATTTTAACTTCTAATCAAACTCTTCTGTTTTAATGAGCACGAAATGTCGTCTCATTTAGTTAGATTATTCTTCTCTGATCGATCGTTTCGAAAATTTTTGTATTTTAACAAGTTTTTTTTTTACAATGTACGAACATAGAAATGATATTCCAAACGAACGTTTAGAATAATAATAATAAACATGTATAAAAATATAAATAAGAAGAAAGAAATAAAGGGGAGATATTCAAGGGATTTTGCTTTGAAGTATTACAATTTTCTATAATGAACATTGAAACGTCAAATGAACGAATAACATCGATCGTTATTCTCTCGTCTCTACTGATATGTCAAAGCAAAATATATTAAGTAATAATAAAAGAAAATGAATGTACGTGTATGAATACGTACCGATTCTGAATCAAAAGTGACGATGGCCGTCCTTTTCAATCATCTATCTGTTTTCTTCAATTTTATCGAAAGATCGATCTAAATCAGTCGGAACGATCTAATCGGAGATCACGGAAATTCTCTAATAGGCGCGTAATCAATTTCCCTTTATGCTACTCTTTAAAGTAATATACCTTTAACGAAGTTTCTCTTCACTCTCTCGTAGCATATTCTTTATCCATTAAATAAAATATACAGATATAGATATTTATATATATATATATACACATATATACACATATGCGTATATATATATATATATAATCATTAAAAAACCAAAGAAAAAGAAAGAGATAAAAAAGAAAAAAGATAGACGGAAAAGAAAAGAAATAAAATGAAAAATGATTTTAATATAAAAATTTAATTGCACGTTGAAAGTCTTTCTCGCAGGCCTCTAGTTCACTCTTAAACGGTTCAATCATTTCGCGAGACAAAATATTGTAACTATTCGTGAAAGAAAGTAACATAGTTTTGACCGTAATAAAATTCTATTAAATAATAATGATCGATAGTTCAATAGGATATAAAATGTTTCGAAGCTTTTCGGAACTTTTCACCGAGCTTTTGAAAATAGTTCTGACCGTCACGACGGTCGGAGCAATACTGCGATGTTCGGTCTCGACCCGGTAGCCCCTTCCACGATCGACCAGCAGCCGATCGACCAATCCCCTTCGGAGCTTTCCGCTGTGCTGCTGAGGTTTCCTTTAGAACCGCGCGCGCTAACTCAGCAACCGTGGATATGCAACTTTCTCGACGTTAAACGGGGGTTGTACTGTTGTTAGAACCTAACTCGTCGTCTCTCACGTGTTGCTTCACCGTAAACATCGACCGACCAGCTGTACTTTAATCCGATGACGTAAATTTATCCTTTCAAACTTGACTTTTCAAGACCGTCAAATGAAAAGGAATCTTCTTCCTTTTTTTCTTTGATGATTTTTCAATTTTCTATATATTGCTGTTTCTCCCTCTCTCTCTCTCTCTCTCTCTCTCTCTTTCTTTCCTTCTTTCCCATTGTATTTCTCTATATACCTGTCAATCTCTTCTAGCCTCTTTTCCTATTTCAATATCCTATTCCGACGAGCTTCGACTAACGAAAATCATTCTCTTTCAAAGAAGCAGCTATTATTTTTGACAAAAAATTAAGCTTCGAAATGTTATCAAAAATAACTCTGTAGACTTTGTTTTCTTTTTTTCCTATTCCTTTTTTTTTTTCTTTATTTTTTTTTTTATTTTCGTGTCGTTTACCCAAACGTACCTTTTGTCGTTTCGTAATTTTTAATACTTCGTTTGCGTATTTCTTTTTTCTCTTTTCTTTCCATTCTTGTTTTTCTTTAATTCTCCTTCCTTTTTTCTTGCGTGTGACACGTTTAAATCTTTCATACACTTATATATTTCCTTACATACTTTATCACGAAGAAGCTTCCGAGAGCTTTGCTATTCAGTTTTGTAAAATTGGATTTAAATCTGAGCTCGCATAACGTCGTAATAAGAATGTAAATTTGTTTAAAAAGTTGTTGAATTAATACTGATATAGGACGATAGGAAAAGCGTTTTAAATGTTAATCAAAAGAGATATATTATTCATCCACATATGATGTATTGGTTTTTCGTTTTAATATTACGTAGAAAAATGCGACTGAGCTTGGGATTCGCTAATGAACGAAGGGTATATAGATATTTTGATTAAATTTTCGACTTCTGGCTGAGTGAAGTAGGAAGATTAGTGGAAAGTAAAGCTACATATATATCCCATTTAATTTCTGCAATTTTAAACAAAAATCAACATTTCAATATCTCTACGTAAAACGTTTTCTCTCTTATATTTTCTCTAATTAAATGCATAAATTAACATTTTCATAAATATGCATTTTATTAAATATTTCATACGTAATATTTAACGTACGATAATAATACGTCTTCATAGAAAAACTTAGTTATAAAATCGTTAAATCGTTGCATCCATTGGCAAAGGAGATTACTTTTTCATAGTTTTTTTTTTTTCTTTTTTATAGTAGAAGGCACATAAAATCCGAATCCTTTTTAATCGTAAACGTATCTCTGGCATTGCGTTCAAATCTCGTTAACTATTGATTCACGATTATCCTTTTCGTGGTTTTTATCCTGGTGCGTCGCTCGCATTTAATTTATCAGAGCTCGTCGCTCACGTGTTCCTTCAACGTGAATGTCAATGAAATGAATACACATTGTTCGACGAAGAATCGCCTACGGAACTTAATGGCCGTTCTAGAAAAGAACTTGTTATTTTCTACTTCCTTCGTAAGTGTTTGTATATATATTAAAATGTATTACATCTATACGTATGCAGATACACGTAGATATTGGTATCTACGTACACGTAAGTGTAATTTCAAATCGTTTTTCACAAGGAAATCCACTTTATCGTATTTTCAAACGCCTCCGCATGGAAGTATTTTCTTACAAGAAAAAAATTACTATCGCGGTCGAGTTAAATAAATTATCTCTAATTCTTTTTTATTTTTTCCTTTCTCCCCATTCTCCGCCACTTTTCTTCTCGCATTATTTCGCGTCTTTTTTTTTTTATTGGAAAATATCTTCCGTCATACTCCTTAATTCCTTGCGTTGACCTTAAAACGATCCACTACATTCTGTCGAACATGGACGTTCGATTCGTCATTTAATGCTTCTGTTACGATATACAATAAATCTGATATTCGAACATTAAATGTTGAACGACGTGAGGAAAGTATGTAGAAGTGCATATGTAGGTATGTAATTTATGTGCATGCATGCGTCCTTTTATTTTTATTATATTTTTTTTTTACTTTTATTTTCTTCCTTACTTCTTGCTTCCTCTTCGTTATTTTCTTTTTCTTCGTAATAACTGGCTTTCATGATCGTGATATCATTACACAAACATAATCGCATGAAGAGGATTTAATGAGGAACGGATTAATTACACGAAAGTTGTAAGAGAGTAAATTATGCCTTCTCTCTCTCTCTCTCTCTCTCTCTCTCTCTTTCTCTCTCTCTCTCTCTCTTCTCTCTCTCTCTCTCTCTCTCTCTCTCTCTCTCTCTCTCTCTGTTTGTCTCTCTTTGTCAAACTCGAAATTACCAATTGTAATAACCGAAGGTAGCATGTCTTAGAAGTACCATGTTCTCAACTTTTGTTTGATCCTGTAGAACGCTATTGATTTATTCCTTCTCTATTTTTATTTCATTCTTTCAATAGAAAACTTTATATATAACAAATAATTCCTTGTTTATTTCTTTAATAAATTAATAAAATACGTTATATATGTATGTATATATATGACTATATTATATATATATATATATATATATATATATATATATATGTATATATATATGAGTATAAATCAATTGCATATAAGTGTTTTAAATAATCGAATTTACCTGAAAATCGATGTACGAATATCTCCTAGAATCGATTTTCTTGTACGAATACATTAGAACGTTTTACAACCATTAGAGTTGATTTACAAGTTGAAACATTTCAAGATGGAAACGTGAGAAGTGACTATCGAAGTCTGGTACGTCGTAAATTTTTTATAAAGTTTAAGCAAGTATTCGCAAACCTGTGACACTTCAAATAACATTTCATTGGATTAGACCACGAAGAATTTGTTTTGCATTTGTAGAACGTTCAAAGTGTTTAAATATTATTATTAAGGATAATATGATTTATCGTTCGATCTTATTGACAGTCAATAAATTATTTACTAATATAAAATATACATTAGCTGAACAGAGAAAGAGAGAGACAGAGAGAGAGAGAGAGAGAGAGAGAGAGAGAGAGAGAGAGAGAGAAATAGAAAGAGAGAGAGAGAGAGGAAAGAAGGAGAAAAAAAAGATAAATTTATACTTTGAATTATTCCGGTAATTTCAAAGAAGTAAGAGAGCTTCGTGAGAGAGAAAGCAGTTGTACCGTCGACTGCTTGAACAACTCGAAATCGATTTTCCTGCGGTTATTCACCTCTGCAAAATGTGCAGGTAACGTCTCACAAAAGCGGAATGATCGATGAAAAGTTACAACTGATTCTTTTGTGCGACCGGTAGTTCTTTGATATACTCGGCATATTGAAGATTCTATGGCTCAGAGATCTAATTAAAAAGAAACTACGTCAAAATAACAAATGATTGTTTGTTTACCTCTTTAATAAATTAATAAAATATATTATAAATATATATATATATATATAAATATATATATATAATATATATAAATATATATATATATATATATATATATATATATATATATATATATGGGTACAAATCATTTGCATTTAAAAATGTTTTAAATAATCAAATTTTGCAAATTATTTACATTAGAAAATGAACGATTTTTATTTATCATCTTTGTATGAAATAACAAAATCGTCTAAAAGAAAGAAGTATTAAGAATCAATCTGTTCTAATTTCATTTTTAATTTTAATGAAATTATATGGAATATTATCAAATAAAATTTAAATGATACTTAAATGAAATAAAATGTCATCGACATATTGATATTTGAATTGATGAAATCATGCGATATCTAATAACTAATATATTGGTATAGCTGATCATTTAAACATTAATTAACCAAAGAATCGATTACACGAAAGCCATTTGTACCGAAACACTTAGCCAAACTAGAACATTCTGAAACGTAAAGATGGATATTAAAAAATATGATTTTTCTTTTTTCTTTTTGATGCTTCTGCTTTACAGAAGAAAGAATGAACGTTTCTAGGAATATAGAGAAACTTCAACATTTTATATTTTTTCTTTTATTCGTTATTTATTTGATATATACTTTACGTTAAAGAAATTTGAAAAGTTATTATTTCAGACATTAGTCGTGATATTTTGGATTACCAATCGCAATGGTTATTCATCATTAATGATTCATGATACTGTAGCTAATGAGTCCAATTATGTGTAATAATATGAATAATAAAATAGAAATACATCCTATATCAATGTATAAAATTAATTGCTGTCAAAAAAGAAAAATAATAATAATAATAATAATAATAATAATAATAATATAATTGTTAGAATATTTACATAAATATTTTGATTTCATGATCGAAATTGTCGACAATTTATCTTGTGGCTGAATGTTAAGAGATTGATAATTGTTGCATCTAGAGCAGAGAGATACGTTCTAAATTTTGGGAACAGGAAAACATACACAAGTAACAACGAAACGCTCGAGCAAACAGATCCGTTTAAGACAGACAACAAGCAACTCTTTATCGTTGTTCTCGATAAAATGTCGGTAAATTTATTTCACGGGTTCATTTCATTTTTCCCTCATTGGATATTATATTCCTCAATGAAAAATCGATTTATTTCGATCGAACGGACACACGTTAATCCGAATTATCTCGTATCTTTTATTTGAATTAATTAAAGGGTCAATCATTTGGAAATAATTATTATTATTACGAGATAAATAGATTTTGTTTCTTTTCTTTTTTCTATCTTTCTTCCTTTCATCAGAAAAATAAGTATCCTATGTATTACCCTTCATTTTTTCTTTACAAATCAATTAGAATAATATTGAACTATTGATGGGAAAAAAAAACTAAAGAAATAAACAAACAAACAAACAAATAAATAAATAAATAAATAAAAGAGAAAAAGAAAATGAAAAAACGTTTAAAATTCATAATTAATTTTATTCTGCTTGTACGACGGTTCTGACGTCAACATACGACGATGACGACGACAACGACAACTACGACGAAAGGGACAGGGACCTTTTCGCAGGATTATCGATTTTCAATGTTTCGAGGTTTTCGGAGCGACACGTGCAGTGCGCAAACTCCGAGGTCGTGCCACCGACTCACGAAGATTCCGTGTGGTCACGGAGCGTCGCGAGCGTCGCGAGAGCGTCTTCGCCATGACGAAATTCCGCGAAATAGAATCTATTTTTCTCGAATCCAAAGTATCCTATATTTCTTCCTCTTTTTCTTCATTATCTGTCATTCTTCGTTTATTAGAGTTTAACATTATCCTTTGTGTCTTCTTTCTCGTATATGTGTATAGAAAATTACGAAGGAAAATGTCGGATCATCAGTCTTTTTGTATTCTTTTTTTTTCCTGTTTCGATAAAGGCGACGATCCTTAGCATCGATTCTTAATTCAAATTAATATAATACACATATACGTATATACATGTACAGGTATATATATTAGGTGTTTCGATTTCTTCGAAAATGATTGAAGATATTCGTGTCAGCGTTGCGTGCCTTTGATCGTCCTCTCCGATGGTAAGTGATGGATTATGCATTTCTTCCTGTCTACCATCTTCTTATCTTTCCTTGTTCATATATATGTTCGTATTTGTATATATACTTTATGCTTCATTTATACGATTGATTTATGCGATTATTTCTTTAAGTATTAATAAATACAACCAAAAAGAAAAAAAAAAGAAACGATTTAAAGGAATATTGTATTGACGTCAAAGGATTAAGGCATCATCGTAATGATAATTTTTTGATTTTTCGATGATCTCAGAGTGACTTGTGATAAGGTCGCATTTACATTTTCTAAATGGAATCTTATATTCTTTATTATATATTCTTCTAGATGACATCAAACAAATTTTTTAACAATAATTATCGCTTGTATACATTTAAAACAGACATAACGAATATGCATGCGTACGTGCCTTTAACATTTTTCGTATGGCGGCTATGTGCCTATGTCTATTTACTTTTGCGCGCTAAAAATTGTAGTTCAATCCAAAACTATATATATATATGTGTGTGTGTGTGTGTGTGTGTGTGTATTATTTTATTTCAATATTCTCCCGTTTTCTTTAAATTTCATTTTCTTTAAAAATCATGTTGTCATCGATAACACAATTAATTGATTATATGGAAAATACATAATATTTGAAGAAAGACAGATCATATTTCAAAAATTGGTCTCTATTATATTCTTACAATAATCTTCCCTTCAAACGTTGATTTCATAAAGTAGATTTTATGTTAGCATTATTAACATTAACGTGATTTTCATCAAGTGTACGATATATATATGTAGTAAGTTTTCTTCGATTAATAGGTCCATCTACGGGTTTGGAACATCAAACTCATGCTGCTTTTGAACGATCAAACGATTTTTGGTGTTATCAGTGCAATAATTCCATTGAGGGAGAGTCCTGTTTCAATGTTTCCAGTAATGCCAGTTCCATAATTAAAAAGTGTTCGGAAGATGAAAGAATTTGCATGGTAAGGTAATTTTAATATTATAAAATAAAATATCAATGTATAAATAATGAATTGTTACGATATTGACATTATATACATAAAAAAAAAAAAAAAAAAAAAAAAAATTAAAATATAATTGAATTAATAAAAATATGATACAAATCAAAAATAATTTTTCCTTTGAATTAATATAGAAGAAAAAAAAATTATACATATATAATTTTAAATAAATATGATTTCTTTAATCGAGTCCATTATTTTTTTTTTCTTTTTATTTCTTCTTTTTGTGTGTGCGTGTGTGTGTTTTTTTCTTTTTTATAGGTGATACAATATCCTTACTATCCTGAAATATTCTCGGTGGAAAGAATGTGCACGAGTACATGTAATCCGGGTTGCTACGAAATCGGTGAAGTAACGAAAGCTTACGCTTGCATTACTTGTTGTGATAAATCTTTGTGCAATACCGGAACCGGAACTGCCAACGATCTTACGATGAAAGAAATCAACTTCGTTTTTGCTCTTATACTTCAAATCATTTTAACAATGTATTCGCCGTGACATTATCGATAAAATATTATAAAACATTAAGTTTCATGCACGACTTCCTTTTATTTCATTCGAACTAATAAAAAATCCTATCCTTATTTATAGTTACTAAATATTTCGAAAATGTTGAAAGAGGAACAATTTGCGCAAGTATTTTATTCGCTCGTTTTCTGTCTGTTAGTACAAAAAGAATATCACTATTTTCTTGGAAGAAAGATGAACTAGAACTTTCCCGTAAATTTACATAATTTTATAGATCCATCATACAGTCAGATCGAACAGTTTTTATCCATCTGTTGATGAAATTTCAATTTTCTTGTTAATAATTTTCCATTGCTGTCATTTGCAATGATATTGATATTAAACGTACGATATATACATATACAAATAATAATTATATAAAGGACAATCCTTTATTCGTGAAATTGTTATTGTCATTTACGTTGACGTAACAATCTAATTATCGTTGAATCTGTAAAACAATTACTTGCTGAGTTGTGTCATGTCGCAGGTGGTCGATATGATAGTGTAAACAGAGAATTCCTTGAAATTCGATAAATTCGAAGAACGACAGTTTGTCAATGGAAGATCGAAGAAGAGAGTACTTACATTGAATATAAAGCCGCCATTATTATAACTTGTGGCTGTTGCCAATTACTTTGATTGGTGTGCTTTTCCGAGCTCCGCAATGATGCGATGCGTTTTCGGCTTCGCAGAATATTTGGCACGCTCTATTCTTCTCCTTCTCGTCTTGTATCTTTTTCTTTTTTCAGTTTCTGCCTCTCCTTTTTCAATTTCTCTTCCACTCTTCCTTTTTCTTTTACGTTTTCCTTTTAAATCCATGAAAAAATATCACCACATCGAAATGACTATTATCGTAGGTAAGACAGTTTAATAAAGAAATATCATTTTATTTCGTAAAAAGTTTCAACGATTATCGTGTATCTCGCTAAAATAATCGCATTGTTTCTGATATTACAAAAAGGTACTTTTAGATCTGCGTAAAACTATCGATTATTTTTATTTCGAAGAAAAAAATCTGAAGGACGAAAATCTATAAAACAATAATATTTAGAAGGATTTTCCATCACGATTATCATACGATATATATTCTCACGTTAAACTCGTGAAAGTAAAAATATATTCGGATGAAACGAAATGTTCAGAATTCGAAATAATATTCTCGACAATAAATTGTAACGGAATATTTGAGCGGTATCCTTAGTACAGATTTAAGTTGGATTTGTGAACTATCAGTAGCAGAAATTTATTCATATTAACCATCATTTCTACGCAATTCTTGAAAAAAGGGGAGTATTGAAATTTTTCGAATTCTCAGTGTTCAAAAAGTCCCAGAATAAAATGCAATGGAATTTCTTCGGGGAAATATTTCTTTTTGAAGTAAATATTTGGAACGATTCACTATATATATACACATACACACACACACACACACATATGTATGAATATGTGTATACTAAAATTATATTTCTTAAATTAATTTAACTTAGCTTTTTTCTCAAAGAAAATCTTTATAGTATATTTGTTTTAATAACATTTACTTTCTTTCTTTTATCAATCTGAAAGTTTAAAAAGCTCGCGAAAACGGCATACTAAGCGGATATAAGATAAAAGAAAGAAAAAAAAAAGAAAAAATTAATAAAAGAGAAAACAATATTGTCAAAGAGCGAATCCTTACTTTCGTCGATAAAAAATTAACAACATCATTTTCGAGTGTTTATTTTCCCTCTCTCTTTCTCTCTCTCTCTCCTTCCCTCTCTTTTTTCTCGTTGTAAATCATTATCTCAAGGTATTAACGCATCTTATTTTTATTGATATTCAAGGAAAACGGTAGACAGTGTAAAAATAATCACTTTCTTCATTGTCACTTTAGGAATAAAAAAATTGAACACGTTTTTCGCAAGGTTCTTTATCCAATTAACAAATAGTCCTTACCGTGTTAAAGTACTCATACAACATAAAGAGTTTTATATCGTGGATCAATGACGAGCAATTAGTTCGTAACAGCAAAAGCTTGTTCGAATTAAAAGGGGAAATTCGAAGAATTGATTTGCGACGTACGTGCTGAGAAATTTTGAAATAAAACAAACATCGAAAGTTCATCGAGGATTTATCGATCGTTCTTTTTTAAACTGTTTCTATGGGAACAACTTTATATGAAATCATGTATATACGTAAAAATACCTATTTTTTGAAATGTACATATATTTTATATGTGCACATGTATATATATATATATATATATATATATATATATATATATATGAAATATATATATATATATATATATATATATATATATATATATGAAATATATATATATATATATACTTGTATATATGTATATTTATTGGTTTTTTTATATCGATATATTGTCATCGTTACTTCATTAAGTCCACAATATTTATTGCTTCGAACATATATATGACCTTTTTGATTTGTATCTATTTGTATCTAATTTATATCTATTTCATTAATCGAATGAGACATGTAATAATCGATAATTATATTATTTCGACGATGTTCACTATGCTGTACGAGTTTATTTTAATGAAGTTCATTTAGAAAATTATTACTAACTTGTATGAAAGGTCGTTCGTGACAGTATTGATTTATCATTTAGTTTCCAGTAACAAAAAATCTTACGAAGGTACATGTAAAGGTAATTCGTTACGAAAGTAAATAGACATTGATATTGATGCTGCTCGATATCAAATTTGGATTAAAACTATTTGAATATATGTAAATGTTTGTACGTCTCTAACTTGTCTTCTGCCTGTAAATTTTTCTTAAAGAAAAGCTTAAACATCAATCTTAAAAAATTTTCTTACTATCTATCACTTCTACTTTTAATAAGATCCGATACAATACTTCCAATTTTAATAATTACCTATAATTTTATAAACATTTATAAAATTGAAATAGAGTATCTTTTTGTTATTATTTCTGATAGATTCGTTAATTATCAAGTATATTCTGTATTTTTCATTAATATTTATGATCGATTTCGGCGTATAAAATTTTAATAATAACGATACGTAAATATCAGGTAATATTTAAAATTATTGTAGAAAATATTAAAGTCTATTTGAACGATATGTATCGTTCTTTTTATTTTCAATTTTTTAAATATTTTTTTTTATCTGTCTTTCGTAATAAAAAAAAGTCCTTGTGCCATTAATCCAATCTTCATTGCAATTGTAAACTTAGATTTCAACGATGCCTACGCTTTTCCTTCTTTTCTTAATGTTTCTTACGTTTAATGAAAGATAAATGTTTTGGTAAGTTTCTTCCCGGATTGTAGATGAAAGGAAATGATACATAGATATACACATATGTACGAGTACTATAAGCACAGAGCGTAGGTTTTGCCATTTACCGAATGACGAAAATTTTCGCTTCTATTTTTGCTCTCTCTCCATTTCTATCTTTCTCTCTTTTGAAGGAACCAGAAGTTAGAATCAAAGCTTAAACTTTAACTTCTAATTAAAGTCTCCTGTTTTAATGAGTACGAACTCTCGTCTCACTTCGTTAGATTTTTCTTCTTTGATCGATCGTTCGCAAAATCTATATATTTTAACAAGTTTTATTTACAACGTACGAACATAGAAATGATATTCTAAGCGAACGTTTAGTATAATAATAATAATAATAAACATATATAAAAATATAAAGAAGAAGAAAGAAAAAAAGGGAAGATATTCAAGGCATTTTTCTTTGAAATATTACATTATTTTCTATAATGAACGTTCAATACGATCGTTGTTTTCTCATCTCTCTATAGATCTAACGAAGCAAACTATAATAATAATAAGAAAAAATGAATGTACGTGTATGAATACGTACCGATTCTGAATCAAAAGTGACGTTGTCCGTATATGATTATCAAAAAAAAAACAAAAAAAAAAGAAAAAAAAAGAAAAAGAAAAAGAAAAAGAAAAAGAAAAAAATAGGAAAGAAAGAAAGAAGGAAGAAAGAAAAGAAAAAGGGAAAAGATCTTGATTTAATATAAAATTCTAATTGCACGTTGAAAGTCTTTCTCGTAGGTTTCTAGTTCACTCTCAAACGGTTCAATCATTTCGCGAGACAAAAAACTGTAAATATACGTGAAAGAAAGTAACATAGTTTTGACCGTAATAAAATTCTATTAAATAATAATGATCGATAGTTCAATAGGATATAGAATGTTTCGAAGCTTTTCGGAGCTTTCACCGAGCTTTTGAAAATAGTTCAGACCGTCGCGACAGTCGGAGCGATACTGCGATGTTCGGTCTCGACCCGGTAGCCCCTTCCACGATCGACCGCAGCCGATCGACCAATCCCTTTCGGAGCTTTCTGCCGCGCTGCCGAGCTTTCCTCTGGAACTGCGCGCGCGTTACTCATAACAATCGTGGATATGCAACTTTCTCGACGTCCAACGGGGGTTGTACTGTCAGAATCTAACTCATCGTCTCTCACGTGTTGCTTCACCGTAAACATCGACCGACCAGCTGTACTTTAATCCAATGACGTAAATCTATCCTTTCAAACGCGACTTTTCAAGACCGACAAATGATAAAGAATCTTCTTTCTCTTTCTCTCTTTTTTTTTTTTTGTTGATTTTTCAATTTTCTATATTTAGCGGTTTCTCTCTCTCTCTCTCTCTCTCTCTCTCTCTTTCCTTCTTTTCCATTGTATTTTTCTATATATCTATCAATCTCTTCTAGCCTCTTTTTTTTTTTTTTATTTCTATATCCTATCCCGACGAGCTTCGACTAACGAAAATCATTTTCTCCCAAAGACAAAGCTTTTTATATTTGACGGAAAACTAAGCTTTGAAATGTTATCAAAAATGAATCCATAGTCTTTTTTTCTTTGTTTTCATGTCGTTTATACAAACGTACTTTTTGTCTTTTCGTAATTTTTAACACTTCGCTTTCATATTCTTATTCCTTTTCTTTCCGTTCTTTCTTTTTTTTTTTCAATTCTCCTTCCTTTTTTTTGCTTTATGATATGTTTGTATCTCTCACATACTTAAATAAATCCTT